AATCATTTCCATTTATGGGGAGAAATTCTCGGCATTAATTTAGGAGTTGTTAAGATTCTTTAAGTTTAAAAGGAAATGATTTCAGCCAAAATCGTTACTGAAAATTTGAGATTATCATCGAGTTGATTTCGAGATACCCATGCAAATTAGGGTCGAAATACAACTTCAAGGAAAGCGAGCTCTTAATCGATCTCACGGTTTTATCCAAGTTTTATTCTTCGTTTATCTATGTATTCACGATTTTCCTCCAACATGAGGGTTACCCGGGAGGGCTTTTGGCTTACTTACTGGGTCTCGTCCCACGTATCCTTGCATATCCCCATTCTCGTAACTCCACTAAATTATTTCATCGTCAACAACAGAAGGATATAGCCAACCTTGTATGGGGGCGCACCCTTGAAGAATTGCGCCCCCCAAACATCTACAGGGATTCGACAAGGAATAGAAACACACCCTTGCTTCATCATAGGAACTAAGATTTCTTCGAAGATTATATTGTGTTATCTAAATTTTGAGAACTCGCGAAATTTGGCCTCTTAAAAGCTAAAGATACGTAGGATCCAAAAAATTGGTTCAATTGTTATTCTATCTTTGACATGGTGTAGAATAACAATTTTTTCCATGTATATACAACATAAATACATTCTCGGGTACGATCATACCAGCACTAATGCACCGAATTCCATCAGAACTCTGCAGTTAGATACATACCTATAAATAATCAAGAAGTAAGAATTGAACAATTAGGGCATTTCAACATATATGGGCAAAGGTCAAAAGTACCAGGAAGTCCCAAGTTCAAATCCAATGAGAAATAAAAATCCTCTTATGGCCACGGAGGTTTAAATGCGGTGACACCAGGCTATCTGCAAAACATGTGGTCGCCCTGGGATTAGTCGGCTCGCATAGCAGGTTGGATATCCAGTTTAATCAAAAAAAACAATTGTATGGGCAGTTTTGACAATCAATGATGCCCAAATAAGTAAATCTTAAGGAGTTCAAGCAAACGATACATTATAATACAAAACATTGACTAAATAATAAATACTAATTGAGGAAAAGGGACATATCTACATTCTTCATTATCGTGTTTCCAAAAACATCTCGTGTTCGTCGGTTGAATGACCTTCTGGATATTTACTTCTAAAATCCATGACCTTCTGTTCTGCCCCTTCCATACACCAAAATGCCACTAAACTTGTCAGAAGTTTATGTAAATAAAAATCTCATTTATAAAGTCAATGGCCTAAATATTCCAAATATATCATATACTAGTTAAACAATCATCATGACGTAAATGCATCTCTCTCGACCAGTTCAGGTTCAAGGGAGGGTGACTTAACTCTGCGTCCGCCGGGACCAACAGCAGCCCTCAAGTTAGTTCCATTTCTGGGGCGAAGTGCTAAGCTTTTCCAGGATCTTTGTCATTTTATAGATTTAATAAAATTTGTACCATCGTCACTCAAACCATGTGCTCTATTAAGTCATAATCTGAGTCATTAAGCCACAACCGAACAACTCTATATGGCTTACCATAGCATTTATATTCATGGTTCCATACATATTAGTTGTTTTCAATATTTAGCAAATCCATTATTTGATTCGCGCTTCAAGTGTTTGTGTAGTGATTTTTGATTGGTTCAAGAATCAACACCTAGATAAATAGTAAACCTATGATCATGTGAGACCAACATGTTTTCGTAAGATCTGTGAGACCACCTAAATAACACTGAACTTACATAACAAAACATTGTGAAGGTAAAACAGTGTTTTCTTGTGATGCTAAACCTTCACAGTGTTTTTTATTGTGTAGGTTCAATTTTTTTTGTACATTCACAGTGTTTTGCTTGTGAAGATTCAGTGTTATTTTGTAGTCTCACAAAAACATAACCCAACCTAAATACTAAATTCTAGTTGGATACAATAAATGCATTTGTGAATACAATAAACAAAATCACACGTTTATAAAGACTTGCACCTCTCTCGAGTCAATCTAGTGTGTAAGGAGACGAACGTGCATCTCTTAACGAAGCACGATGCACCTCAACCAAGCGGAGACCTCAAAGTAGCACCATGGCATGCCTGGTGCCTACACAAGCATTTCCCAACAAATAGCTTTCTTTTGAGAAATTTAACTAACATCTATGTTTTACCCTTTTTCCGCCGAGACTTTTACAAGCAGAATCCGCGAGAAATCACTTTTTTCGACGGATTTTCAACGGATTTTTTTGTCGGTCAAATCCCCATTATTAGTAGTGTTCTCGAGGTGGACCATGTTACTGTCCTTTTTGAGATTTTCCTAACTTATACATTTCAAATCTAGTCAATATATGTTTTTCGCTATTTGTAGAATGTGCAAAATGAATCATTCGTCATATATGGTAATACGGTTGGGGTTGTTTTACATGATTATATCGTTTATATTAAAGAAGTTTAGTGATTTGAAGATCAATTCCTATAGATATAGTGTGCATGCCTGTAAACGTTAACTGATATCCGGCTTTGCTTCAAGAAACTCATCCGATATTGCTTATTTACATTTGTGAAAGTGTCGTCATTTTATAGGCTTTCTTTATTTGAGCTTCTTCAAATGTAGAACTATATTTATGTTTTTCTTCTCTCATTTGCAGAATGTGTTAAATGAGTTGTTGGATGTACATAGCAGTCGATTGCTTGAGATAGAGCGTTCCGAGTTCCACTCCCTGCTACGAGATAATAAGGTATTTGAATCAACACCGATGACTTTGAACTGATTATTAGGATGTGTAACTAGGTTTTCTTGTTCACTTAAAACCAGGTGGATGATCTCTCGAGGCTGCATAAACTCTTTTCGAGAATTGTTAAAGGATTGGATCTTGTTGCTGATTTGTTCAAGCAGGTACGAGTTTGGTCCGGCCGTCCCTTAGCATGTTAAATGTGAGATTTTAATAGGCAATTTTACACGTGTTTAGGGTCTTTTATCGACTGTGTAAAGCGATAACCGAAATTTTTTAGGTTCAAATCATAAATTATTTGGGTTTGCATTCAAATTATTAATAATTCAGGTTTAGGTTCAGATTGTCAACGTTTAGGTTTACTCCATTTTTGTGCTTAACATATATCTATGTTGTCTCATTTACGTATATGTAATCAAAATATTTGGATGTAACATGGCCACCAAAAAGATTGGAACGTCCCTGAGTTTGGTCATAGGATTCTATCACTTACTTTTATGATATCGCTTATGTTTTATGATTATTGTTTGATGCTAGTACGTTATCATCGAAGGGGTGGCCTTGGTCCAATAGGCTGAAGATGTTGCACGTAATATGGTGAGTGCTAGTTTTCATGACACTACAACAAAATCGAGTTTATAGAATGCCAACAATTTCTAGGTGTCCCAATAGATTGCTTTATAGGACTTTATTTTATAGGACCAAACAATTAAACGTATCTTATCTAAAGGTGTTGTAATAAGCTTATAGGATATTTTTGGGCGTAGTAACAAGTTTTTTATAACATTTTTTAAAAACATCGTATTAGCTATTTTGTAGGGATGTCTTATAAAAACAAGTGTCTTGTATATAAAAAGATGTGTTCATAGGACACTTCTCAAAAGTGCCTATAAAAAAGCTAATACGACACTTTGTATAACAAGTGTCCTAAAAGACTTGTTAAGACGTCCAAAAGCATCATATTAATTGCAAATTACAAGAACTAGGGTACTTCTATGTGGGTAATCGAGCTTTACGACAGGCTTATGGCGTACGTTACCGATTGTTTCATGAACCACGCCCTATTTCACAAGGTCCGTCTCTTATGAACTATTTTCACTTCTAACTTTAAATCAATTGGATAATTCACTCCATTATTTATTCTTCTCTAGGCCATTAAAGAGGCATTTGAGGTACTCTGCAATAAAGATATCGCCGGTAGCAATGGTGCGGAGTTGTTGGCTTCGTACTGTGACATCCTCAAGAAGAGCGGAAGTGAGACGTTGAGCGATGAAGCGATTGAGGAAACCTTGGATAAGGTATGTTCGTCTTGTCAGTGGTTGTTCCATTTTTTGGCGATAGCGTTATGATGTTTCAGTTGCAAGATGATCTTCACTGAAACAACCTTTCTACTCCCAAGGGATAGAGATAAGGTTTACATACATCTTATGCCTAACAGAGGTCCATTTTGAAAATTTTCCGAACAGGGTGCGAAGTAATTAACATGATATAAAAATATTAATTATAAGAAGTATGATTCAAATAATAACGATACATAAATGGTTTTTCCTTATGATGTTACCAAAAATTTAAAAAATAGCTAAAAGAATCCGAACTTATCCTGTTTTTTTTTTTTTTTGCCACATACAATGACTATACGTGTAGGCTGCAACCACTTTTTGTGAGTACGCTTTTAGTAAAAGCGTGTGCACCTTTAATACACTACAAAAAATTGGTTTTATAGGACGTCTAGATTGTCTAAACGTCCTAATAAAATACTTTATAGATAGGTTTATATGACCAAACTATACGTCTTATTTGAAAGTGTTATAATAGGTTTATAATACATTTTTAGGCGTTTTAACAAGTTTTTCAGGACGCTTTTAAAATAAAGGGTTCTATTAGTTATTTCTTATAGGACTCTTTTAAGAAGTGTCCTATAAACCTATATTTTTATAAGAATTAGTGAGTGATTTTTACAGTTAAATCACTTGAGTTTTTTGAAACAACAAAAAAAAAAACCTTCAATTTTACAGAAAACCCCTTATATATCACTTTTAATGAAACCATAATTTTTACAATTAATATTTATTATGTGCACCAGCTTACAAAATTATGGATCCATCTTTAACATTCATCTCCTTGATTATACCATGAAAATTGCAACATGAGACATGTAGCTTCAAGAAAATGTTTGATTATTTGTAAAATGACTAAAACACCCTTAATAACGACAAAATCAGAAAAAAAAGTCCACTCCCAATCAATATCGATATCGACACCTTTTTGTAGGACAAAAACAGAAAATGCAACTAGAAATTTTCCAAAAACGGAAACTATTGCAAATTCTCATCGATATAAACAAAGAACCCATTTACATAGCATCAACATTCGAATCTATGAAGCCAACTAACGATTAAATGACTAGTTACACTGTGCAGAGCACCCGACAAAGGGAGATTCTTTTGCTAAGCTTAGCAAATCGATGGTGCAACATTACCATTTTACCCTTCATCGCCACAACGCTGAGCATCCACTTCTGTTGCTGAATGCAGGCTAAACTTGAGAAATCTATTATATACAGGAAAAACATCAACAGCCAATTGACATGCAATATATGTACCTGAAAGAAAATATTTCATGGAACCAATTAGTGGAGACTTAACAACCAACCAATAAAAAATTTAGAATGCAACCCACAAAGCAGATAAATCAAACCAAACCAAACCAACCCAGTATATCCCACCACAAGTAGAGTATGGGGTAAGATGTATGCAAACCTGATCTCCATCCCAAAAGACAGAGGTTGTTTCCCCTAAGACCCTCAACTTACAAGAAAGGTTTAGTAAAAGATATAGATGCAAAGAAGATAAACTAAACCGAAACAGTATATCCCACCAAAGGTAGGGTCTGCGACTCAGATGTACGCAGACCCGACCTCTGTCCCAAAAGACAGGTTATTTCCAGAAAAGACCCCGACTTGCAAGGGAGGTTTAGTATATAAAAAAAAGCAGATAAACCAAACCAAACTAGTATATCCCACCAACGATAGGGTCTCCACACGCTGGGGGGAGATTTGACTCCGAGAAGACCTCAGCTTGCAAGAAAGGGGTTGTTTGGTTGGCTCTCCATTAAGTTCCTGTATGGATAGAGCTGTTTGTGTGGATTAATCTGTCAGTATAGACTGAGATGATTTTTGTTTTGGAGAGTTTTTTCATAGACGGAAGGAGCGTGTTTATTAATTGGGAGGGAAAGGTTTGGGGAAAAAAACTTGATTTTCCTAAAAGCTTACTGTATAAGCTACTTTCTATATCATTAAGCCACTACTAAACAGTCATGTATAGCTGACCGAATAAGTTAACAGTCCCATTAAGCTGTTAACGAACAGGCTCTTAGTGAAAGATAAAGACACAAAGAAGCAATAGTTATATCAAACCAGAATAAAACTTTGTTCTCAGAAAGGAACTTCATTTCAACCATTCTCAGAGAAATTAGGACAGCAAAACAAAGCAAAAATGGTATAAGAATCTGCTTACCTGAAGCTTGTTGAATCAGTCACATCAGTAATCACGCTGATCATAACAAATTGATTCTGGGATTTCGTGAAACGACAATCTTGATAATAAATTAAGCTGATCATATCAACCCTTCTCAACACTTTGCACATTGGTCTTGAAGTTGAAGCTATTCTCGATGAACCAGGAGTGCTGATGATCCACCGTTATCAACTTTTATCCGAAAGTATTTACAAGTTGCAGCTCTTATTTGAACCCAAGATCTTTTCTTTCCGAGAGACTGAAGAAGATCAATAAAGACTCTGTCTTTATGGCTAAGAATTCCACTTGATTCAATAAGCTCGATCTTTATTGCATGCCCAGATGCAGAAAACCACATAAAGCGATATCTGATATGATTTCAAGTTTACAACTATAATGGGTATCATCTATTGATTACTTCCATGGCGACACGTACCAGCCGCAACAATTCTTCCACGTCATGGAAGTTGAAATCAAGAGCCTTTTTAACTGCAGATAGACTGGCCTCTTGTTTTGCACTAGAGGCTGCAAAACAACTCCGTGCTTTCCTTGAGGCTTCCATTGCCGAATTAACATCCTGTGCCTGCAAAGATTCAGAGTAAGATGCTAGAAACCACGAATATCCAGTAGAAGGCAGGTTCATTTGAGAATTGTAAATATACTGAGAACCAACTATTCATGAATTATTCATGATGAATATTGTGATAGATATTCATGATATTCATCATGAATAATGAAAATGCATTATATTCATGATGAATAATTAGGTATATTCATCATGAATAATGAATAATTAGATATATTCATCATGAATAATTATGAATGGTTGTTTCTTATGGTTTTCAAAATATTTACGGTTCCCAAATGAACTTCCCCCTATCTATTGGCTTTCGAGAGTGCACTTACAAAGTTAAGAATCCGCATAAAGTTGGGTTTGTTTCGAGCAGCGATAACATGATTTCCAGCAATTTGAGGAGCATTAAGACCCTTAGCTAAGGCAGCCTTGTCAATGGTTGCTGGATTGTTCATGTTATCAAGATCAGAAGCAGAGGCAGAGGACGAAGGAGACTCACCTATAAAATTCATACATACAGGATAGTGTTAGGTCAAAAAGAAAGATCACCGACAATTGATCATTCAACATGTACAAATATGTGAAAACCCCCAAATTACTTTCCAAAAGAGCCCTTTTAAAGGAGTATCCATCATATATTGTAACGGGTCGAAGTCTAGCCAATGTGGGACTCCAACACGCCCCCTCCAATGGAGGCTACACGGGTACAGATTATCCCAGAGTGTCGAGTCCCTAAAGTGGTAGACCTTGGCTCTGATACCATGTGAGATCATATGGAACCCCATTAGGAAATTACTCTCCAAAGAGCCCTCGAGGAAAAAAAGGGCAATTCCAACAAAATACACACATTTAACGCTGAAGACCTATCGGAGTAAAAGAAAGTGTGCTGCTTTTTATGAAAAATCTCAAAGAAGTATAAGACCCACCCGTAGGGCCAATCTGAAGAGACGTTTGCAACTCATTCACATCTTTGGATGCAGTGGTGTGTGAAGAATAGATGACTTTCAAGTATGCCACCTCCATGCATTTATAGGCCAAAGATGCAGTAGCCATTTCCTTGGTTCTCTCATATTCATGAGCACAATACCTAATATCCAGTAACCGATAAAAAGAAAGAAACCCAAATAAACACTTTCAGAAAGAAAAAATATCCACCATCAATAGAAGCAGTAGGAGACGTTAAAAGCATAGCCCATCAAAGATTCGAGTGAAGACAAGAATCAAGATGCTAGCTTTTAGTAGTTTCTTGAAAATACATAAAGAGCACAAACGGATACTTCTACAGTTAACACTCCCAAGAAAAATTTGTGACCAATAAAAAGGGTCGAAAATTCGAAAAGAGCCTACATATTACTTACTCGCAAAGTTTTGCTGTGCTACTGTATATAGACATTGATTGAATCATATCACCATATCTCCCAGTCTGGCTATGGCAGGATTCGAACAAAGAGGCTACATGAAGAAATTTGAGGGCGGCTTGGATATAAAGAGTTCTACTCTCGAGATTTGATCCAGAATTCTGCAAATATTAGACAAGTTATGACTGCAAGACAGCAGCAAAGACACTACAACAAAATGGATTATATAGGACACCTGAAATATAGAAGCATCCCATAAAAACACTTTATAGGACTTAAGTTTATAGGACCAAACCAAAAAGCGTCCTACCTAAAGGTGTTAAATAGGTTTACAGGATGCTTTTAAAATAAAGTGTCCTATAAAAAAGATGGGTTTATAGGACACTTCTCAAAAGTGTCCTATAAAAAGACAGTGAGAAGTATCCTATAAAATAGCTAATAGGACCACTTTGTTTTAAAAGTGTCCTATAAAACTTGTTAAAACGCCTAAAAGCGTTTCATAAACCTATTGTAACGCTTTTAGGACATTTTATGGTTTGGTCCTATAAAACCAAGTTATATAAAGTATTCTATTAGGACACTTGTACAATCTAAGCTTCCTATAAAGCCAACTTTTTTAACTAAGGTGGGCACATCAGGGAACATAATAGATAGCAAAATATATGTTTAAAAAAAATAATAGCACCTTCATGCGATCGGCCATGTGCTTAAGATTTGTCGCCTCTCTTAGAGCATTTGTAGTAGCCTGATTGGATATATCCCTCACAAGGGTAACGGGGGCATCCGTGTTTCCGCCCTTATGCCTGTTGGGTGTCGAATGTTTTGTATTCATAGGCTGTTTTCCATTTTGGTTCTGAGCTTTCTTATTCGGTTTTGATGCCTTTGATGAATCATTGCGTCTAGCAGCATCAAGCAACATGGGGTTTCCTCCACTTTCTTTCTGATAACCAGGATTAGCTTCAGGAAGACGTTCATTTCCATTTTGACCTTTTCCAGAGGGTGGCAAAGAATGCGACTTTCCTCGTCCAGAAACATCCCTTTTCATAGGTTGCTTTGCATCAATTCTAACATCTGAACCGTCATGGTGCCTATGCTTTGAATTCCCACCCGACGGTAACTCCTTAGAAGCAGATCCATTTGCAAGATTATCAGATTTTCTACCTCCTTTTAGTCTGTAATCTACATTTTTGTTCAAGGGTTCAGAAATCTTGGAAGTGCCCTTGTCAATAATATCGATTCTAGACCGACTTTTTTCCTTTGATCTCAAAGAAGACCCCTTCCCATGTTTTCTTGAACGCGACCCATTGGAATGTGACTGATTACTCTTCGTTCTTTCTTCATTCTGGCCATGAGATGAAGTCTCTACCCGATTACAATGGCCCGAGGTACCAACACCACCCCCAGCAACATGAGAAGTTTCAAATTCGAGAAAAGGTACAATTTTTTCCTTCCCTTTATTTGTGGATACATCCAGGTACTGATCATCCTCATCTGAGCATTTCTTGGGGCCGAAAGCGTCTTGAAGGTCATCATTGCCTCTAATGTTCCTTCTTGATGATGTAAACTTATCGATATTCAAGATCCTTAGAGGAGAAGAAGAAACCGATTCCACTGGTGACCCTTTTGCTTCCTGGTTATTGGGTTTAGTTTTATGAGAACCCGAAACCTTTGAAGAGCTTGATGTGGCAGCCAAGGAAGAAAGCACAGGAACCGTATCTCGTCTCCTCGAAGCATCTTCAACATTTTTACGTTTTTCATCAGTGCCTTCATCCCCAGATTTTAATACCCTTGATTTCTTTTCCTTCCTACTGTTAGTTTCACTTGCTTCTTTCACATATTTACCGGTACCCTCAAATTCATTTGCTTTTCTTTTCTTTGCAACGTCCTTTTTGTTGGATTTTCCCGTGTGTAAGGTTCCATCATTCGAGCTCGTTTGATTTTGGTTTTCTTGATCTTGAGCTGAAACTTTAGAGACAGATTTTGTATCTTTGGGACGGCGATCAAGTTTCCCACGGTCGTTTCTTGAAATGTCTGCCGGTAAACCACTACTTGAGCTACAACTTGCCTTAAAGACAGTTCCACCATGGTCAGATGTCCAATCTTCATCGGTACCATGAATACCATCCATCTTAACTTTCTTGAAATCTCGGGAAAAATCTTGAATTCTCTCTCTTTTATTGCTGATCTTGAACTGATGAATATGATTACCTGAGGAAGTGTTGTATCAAGAAAATGCATTAAGATGTAATGTACTTTGGTTTCCTTCTTATTTTAGGTAATGTACTTTCAAAACCTTCATTTTCGTACTTAAGATGTGACGAGGGAGGTTCACGGGAGAACCCAAAAAAATGAAAAACTGAGGAACACTAGTGTGATCATTCATCTGGATGGTTTGCACATGTGCACCCAAGTAACTGAAGTTCTTTCTTGGACTTTTATGCGCGTGTGCATGTTATGCACATTTGCATACCGGACAAATTACTTACAAATTATTTGTATGCACATGTGCATACCGTCCATATGGCTACAAGGGTGTTCCTTAGTTTTTTATTTTTATTTTTTTTGCGGTTTTCCCCGAAACCTGACATAAGATGTGACATCTCAAACATTTAGGTACCATCTAATAACATGAAGAACCTAAATAAGAAAAGCTTTTTGATCACATGACATCGGTTTTTTTAAATGGCAATTAATATAAAAAATCCATCATTATTTCTTTTAAAATCAAAATTTTTAATAAATTTTTCAAATGATTACATGGTCTACCCGCTAAAAAAGTACTAAAATTTAAAAAAATGATTTAAGGGGAATTTTTTTGAATAGTTGGGATTTAAAAAATAAAAAATTGGCGCCATGTCATCAAAACCTGATCATATATGGTACTTGAAGGTTATCAGGTAAACCAAGTACTCTAAAGGTTTGAGATGTCACATTTCAAGTACCAAAATAAAGATTTTAAAAGACCGTCAAACAAAATACAAACTGGAATGTTGCATTTTCATGCGATCGGCCCATAAATTAATGTCAACTTCATTGAAATACCTTCATCCACAAAGTTCTCACATAGTTTATTGTTCTCTTTTTGCTTCGATCTATCCTTTTCTGCAATCATGTCACTAGAATGGCCAGAATCCTGAAATTCTGCTTCGTTAACGCGAGGAGACTGGTTTCTGCCATTCAAGCTCCGGCTTCTATACGAGGTGTCAAGGTTCTTCTTTGTGGAGTTAGAAGACAATGAGGGTCTCTCTTGCTTGACTTCATTTGTTAGATCTTTTGATTCGTGCTTCTTCTTGATATTGGTAGATGGAATTTCTGAACCAAAATGTCGGTTCCTACCATCAGGACATGAAGCATCAAGAGAGATCACTCCTAATTGAGGTCCACCGGGATGAACGGGCGGCTGAGAACCTTGAACAAGAGAAGGACCCGGAAAACGGGAAGTTATAGCCTTATATGTCTCCTCCTCACTGATGCTACACCGATTCATTCCAGGCCTAGAGACATGTTAAATATGTTCAAATCTGTCAGGAGCTCGTGTTTCTTGTCAGGAATATGCAATGGCAAGAAAGTACTCCCTCCAATCCTCTCTCATGCACTGGCCCGTGGGCTTGGAGGTTTATATGTTCTAGAATAAATTGGTATTATAAATGGGGGAAAGATGGGAGAGTAGAGTATGCAAAAAAATATTGTGTTTGTTATTGGGAGAGTCTAGCCTCTCGAATAGCTAAGTGTCCTATCTTTTTCTTGTTAATCCAAGCATCCGAATGTTGTTTCTTCCCATTTGCTTTTATTTTAATTGTTCAGTAAATCTGCAACTTATGAACCAGATTTACCGAACAATTAAAATAGAAGCAAATGGGAAGAAAGAGTAGCCAGATGCTTGGATTAAAAAGAAAAAAGATAGGACACTAGCTATTTCGAGAGGCTAGACTCTCCCAAGAACAAACACAATATTTTTCTGCATACTCTACTGTCCCCTCTTTCCCCTATTTATAATACCAATTTATTCTTGAACATATAAACCTACTCGTGGGATTGGGCTTGGGCCAATGCATAACATCCTCCATCCCAAAATAAGTGTCCACATTTCTATCTTAGTTGGTCCTAGAATAATTGTCCACTTTCAGAAGTAACTGCTTACTTTCCAATTCTACCCTTAATTACGAGATGGATAAATTTATACTCTCTCTATTATTAAGGGTAAATCGTCAGTTAGTTATTTAAAAATTCACACATTTCTAAAACTGTGTGCCATTTTCATCGTGGGCATTTATTTTAAGGATAGAGGGAGTACCTTTTTACTGCTGTAATTTTAAAGCAGTGTCAGTTTAACCTCCATATGTAAACAGAAAACGATAAAAATCATGAAAAACGGATGTTAAACCTTCCACATTTCTCACTAACAGAAATTTAAAACTTCATGGCACATGCGCAAAATAACTTACAGCCAATCGAGCATGCTACAGAGCCACTTCTCGGGAAGGCTTCCCGGATTTACCCCAGGTGGAAGAAGCCTCCATTTCTCACATTTATCACAGCAGACCCAATCTTCATTGACCACAGGAGCCATTGAAGCCACGGCTACATCAGAACCGAGCCCATTGCCAATTACAGGAACGTGTGAACCCACTCTTGGATACAACGATGAAGATGGTTTTTGACTTTTCATTACAACTAATCTCTCTTTTGATAAACTGTTATTTTCCAATGTCCCTTTTTCGTTAACGATAGTCTCTTTCACCCTGCCGCCAGAAGATTTCTCCAAAGCCATTTCATCGGGATCTTCCTGTTCGAGATCAAGTTCTCCAAAGAAATATTTATAAGTCTCTCTTGCCTTCCCACTATTTTTCTTGAGATTTTCTGTATAGATTTTTGACCCATTAGCATTATTCTTACCTCTAGATGTAAAAGAATCATTCTTTACACCACTTTTTGATATATCGATGTTTTGGGAACCATTATCCAAATCCTGACCTTTTGATTTCCGTTTTCCCCCTGAAGATGATGTCTTATTTCCCGAAACCAATTTCATGCCGTCCATTTCACGTAAAGGAGCTTTCTTGCCATCCTTGTGCTTTCGAGTCTTTACTAATCCACTATCAAGAGTTTTGCTGCCACTAGAAACGTCGGAATCCGCTTTCGTAGGAAAACCCGAGTTATTTTCATCACAAGTTGTGTTGTTAGCTTCCCCAACTGAACCACCATTCCCATTAAGCTGCTCAACCCGCTGATCGTATCTAGGCAATACTGGATCCTCCTCTTTTGCTATATCAGAAAAGTCGTCATTGGATGGAAGAGGGAGCCTCCGAGGATTAGAAACAAGTTCTTCAGAAACCATATTGTCCACGCTTGTTTCCTTCTTCGCTAGAATCCCGGTACCATTGGGAACATCGATACCATTTGTTGATTCCATAGAAACAGTATTCGTCTCAGATGACTTCGGCTTCTCTCCAAGAACATTTTGTTCAGTTTTACCCAAATCAGACCCATGAAGAGCTGTCACGGTACTTTCTTGACTCCCCTTGTGCACAGGTCCACAACTACCATCCTCCCACTTCTTTTCAGTCAAATTCAACACATCATAGGGAAGAGGAGATAAAAGACGACTTCCACAAACTGGAAATGATGTCATCATCTGTTGCAATATCGATTTAAAAATTCTATCACTTTACACCATTTTGCAAACCAAACGAACCCAGTAACATGAGGTGGGGTCCGGGGAGAGTAAGATGTACACATACTTGACCTCTACCCCAAAGAGTAAAGGGTTGTTTACGTGAAGACCCGCGGCTTGTTAGAAGTGTGTAAGATCCTACATCGGTTGGGAAGGGAACAACGGTCGCCTTATTAGAGACTGAATACCTCCCCTATTAGATGCATTTTAAAACCTTGAGTTCAGGTGTGCGACAAAGCGGGCAATATCTGGTACGGTTAGCCTGGGATGTTATAGATGGTATCAGAGCCAGGAACCAGACCGGTGTGCCAGTAAGGATGTTGGGCTCCCAAGGGGGTGGATTGTAAGATCCTACACCGATTGGGGAGGGAACAAAGGTTGCCTTATTAGGTACCCAATACCTCCCCTATTAGACCCGTTTTAAAACCGTTAGTCTAGGTGTGGACAAAGCGGGCAATACCTGGGATGTTACAAATGGTATCAAGCCAGGAACCGGATCGGGACTGGTCTAGTGAGGGCGTTGGGCTCCCAGGGGGTGGATTGTAGATCCTACATCGATTGGGGAGGGAACAAAGGTTGCCTTATTAGGGACTGAATACCTCCCCTACCAGACATGTTTTAAAACCGTGAGTTCAGGTGTGGACAACGCAGGAAATATCTGGTACAGTGGTACAGTTAGCCTGGGATGTTATAAAGTGTGAAAAAGAGAGAGGCGGAATTGATAAAGATTTGAAAAGAATATTGGTAAAAGTTACCAACCTCAAGAATACTAGTGGGGGATTCGTCAGGACCATCCTGGGGCACATGAAAAAACCCATCACTATCTACAGGGCTGATTTCCAACGAAGATGAGGGAGAAACATCAAGACCAAGTCCACTGTAAATTTCGGCATTTCTTCTATCTGACAAGTTATCAGACCCAACTCTGATTCGAACCTTGAGACTCTTCTGGTCAGAACCGCTAGCAAAGCCTTTAACAGTTTGCTGGCTGTTTGAAGTGGATTTGTCACCATGCATAGCAGACGATGTGGGGGCTTCTTGTTTCAATTTACTGTTCATAGATGGCCTCCTAGGTGTTGGTCCATGTCTTGCTGGTTGTGATGCACTTGATTGGGAAACGGAGTTCTGATGATCAACCTACACGGTGATACAACGTGAAACGTTTATGAAGAATAGTATAAAGAGTACCCATAAGAAATCATCATTGATGTAGCAAAGATAAACAAATTCATACCCTTCACACTGCAGAAAATAAACCAAACCGAACCAAACTACCCCAGTATATCCCACCTGGAGGTGGAGGTTAGGTGTAAGATGTACGCAAACCTGACTTCTTCCTCTACACTAAGAGTAGAGCGGTGGTTTACATGAAGACCCCCGGCTAGCGAAAAGTGTGTGAAAGGGAGAAATATGGATATGCTAAAATTTGAAAAAATGGATATAACAATACAAATAGAAAGAGAGAGACTGATATGGTAACTTTTGAGAAACTAGATATGAGGAACTAACAGCAATATATATAGAGAGAGAGACTTAGGTTCAAGGGAAAACCACAAAAAAATGGAAAATTGAGGAACGCCTTGGTAACCATTCATTTGTACAATATGCACATTCTCATAAGATGGTATACACATGTGCATAAATATTTCATGCACATGTGCATACTGTACATATGAATGGTTATTAGGGTGTTCCTTAGTTTTTCAATTTTTTGTGATGTGGAAACTCCACACCTCTAGTCTAAGATAGTGTTCTAGTAACTTAACTACCGACTCCCTAACTAGATCCCCATGCCGAAAACATCATATACAAATGTAAATGTATGTTATCATAATCTTGGGTGGTTAAATTATTAGCTCCGAATTAGAGAATTAGAACCTTGGCCATCAAAAAAGCAAAATCAATAACATTGGTACTAATGGAACAATAAATAAGCTTCCAAAAAGAACCACCTCTACATGTGCATTATTTGGAGAAATGGGTGCACTGTACGTAAGAACTTTCGGAGGTGTCTTTGGATGAGGCCAAAGAGGAGAGCGCTGATAAGTGGGCAAAAATGAACCATATCCCCCAAACTTCGCCCCTGCATATAAGCACAAATTCTCATTAACACTGCCAACACTTGTGGTTTTGGCTTACAAATGATCCGTTAACTTACCCAAATTTTCAGCTGAAACTCCACCTTCAAATTCCTTTTGACAATGTCCCAAAACATCTTGAATTTTCTCATCCTTCAAGCATTACAACAACGAATATAGGTGAGAAACAAAGCCAAACATGCAATGATAATAGGAGACACCCATCACATTCCATAATAGATTATTCAAACAAAACAAAGAAAGCAGGCAAATGCCATATATTTCACTTTTTAAGTGTGTATCCGTACTCTGGCCACCAACTTAATGCCAACGCCATAGTTACCAAACTTAACAAGAAACTCGAGTATTTTCTCTATGCCCATTTCAAATAAAGAATTTATTACAGGTTATACTCAAAGGATCAAGGTCAGAGGAAAACCGCAAAAAAAAATTGAAAAACTGAGGAACATCCGAGTAACCGTCCATCTGGACAGTATGCACATTTGCATACAAGTCATTTGTAAGCAATTTTTCCAGTATGCACATGTGCATAAAAACCAAGAAACAACTTAAATTACTTGTATGCACATGTGCATATCGTCCAAATGACTTGCCCACTTTTTCATTTTTTTGGGTTTTCCCCTAAACATCCCCCTATACTCAAAACCCAATACATAAAGAAGCTTTATGGATTTAGACAAAGCCAAACTCTATCTAAATCATTGGACTGCATCATTGTATAAGTCAATCAAAAGATTATACTTGCCAGGCTTGCAATGTGTTCCATTAAAAGGGACAAGCAAGGCAAGAAAGAAAGAGTTAAATGGTAGTTAGCAAAATCCAATTTCAGAATCTCTGCTAAAAACAACAAAATCATCTCCAACACATTCAATTCCATAATTACCAAAGTATCATACTATCATTAACAAACACTAGTTCGAGAACCGAAAGCTAAGTATAAAGAAAACAGGTTCAAACTACCCAGATATAGAATGGTTTCTAAGATGTGTGCATTTAAAGGATCATCAGAAGTGAATGATGCACTATAGAGATAAAAGAACAAGTCAAATTGGTTGAAAATTAATGGAAAAACACACACAACTAAAGAATACGAGAATTCTTAAGATACATATATATATATATATATAGTTACTTACAATATATGAAAGAGATATATCAGGATCAATTGCTGAATCATCATCATTATTGTTCTGGAAACAAGCTTCACCTTCTTCAAGTTCAGTCTCTGATTCCATCTTTCTCAACTCCTCCCTCTCATCTCTACTTCCAACAGAAATCATCCAACAAACCCACCAATCCAAACACCCTTTTTCCCTAATAAAATTATCTTTTTCCCCTTTTCAAGAAACAAAAATATATCTTAAAAACAACGAAACCTTACTTCACCGAACAACAACAACACTCGAAAAGCTCATCTACCCAATTCAAACAATCGAAACCCCATCAAAATTCACCAAAAACATCAAGATCGGAAATAAAATTTTAACTACCGACAAAGAAATTACTGATCTTGTAAGTTCTTTAGCTGATCTCCGATCAAATTGGGTAAAACTCGCTGAAATTGAAGCTGGGTAAGTGCTAACTTTTTACGATCTTCTTTTAGACCAAATCAATGAGGAGGATAAACGACAGAAAACCGGAGAACAATCTGGTTTGGGTACACCAGCCGCGTTTTTCTTCTCTCTAATTCTTTAATCTTTTTTTGTTTTCAAACGTAATACAGTATTTGGTCTTTGGGGAGTACGCAAATTTTCTATTACCAGATATTATTTCACCTGTTTTCAAAATTTACAGTTTCTACCCTCTGAAAACAAATTCTTTTCTTTTAGGTACAACAACCGACTGAATGATGGTACAAAACCACACGCCAATAAACGCGTGAACAGCACGTCCCTTTGTAATTTTAATTTTTTAATATTTTTAATGCAATTGTTTATAATAAAAAAAATTACTGAGATCGACAAAAAAAGGGTAGTTGTGGGTTTTCGAGGCAGCTTATGTACAGTGATTAATTCCTCGGTCAATCGTAGATGGGTTGGAGTTATTACAAGTGAACCTCCATGACCATAAAAGTTGTCTCGGATCTGAAATAGATTAAATTTTCTACTACATCCCTCTGAGGTTTTACCAGATTGTAATAATCCAAGTGGGTCGTGTTTTATTATAAACTAGAAGGGTATTCGCGCAATGCTGCGAGATAATTCTTTATTTTAATGTCTACTTTTTATTTTTTATCTTTATCGATATAATACAATTTTATGTGATTTTGAGAAAACGATAATTTTGTTATTTGAATAAAATATAAATTTGAAGATAACATAAAATTTTGGAAAAAAAATAAAATCAATATTGGTATCAAATTAACTATTTAATAGTTATCGTTTTTTGGTGTAACTTATTTAATTCAATTCTTTATTATAATTTAATTTAGATTTATAACAAAATAATTTATATTTAGTTTAATAATATGATTTTTATAGAGATAATATTATATTAATTATATTTTAAAAAATTTATATTTAAAATGAATGTCTATCATGTATTTGATTATGTTTATTCGCAGTTAGTTACATGAATTTAAAAACGGAGCTTTAATAAGTTGCACTTACGCAAAATTACTTGTAAAATTGAATTTTAAGTAATATGCATCAATAAACAGTACATCATGCATAAAAATGGTCTTTAAGAGTTTTTCTCAAATACTTTATAATATTTAATTTAAATTTATAACAAAGTAATTTATATTTGATTTAATAATAAAATTTTTTATAGAGATAATATTAGAACTCAATGATTATCTTAATTGTATTTTATATTTTTTATATTTAAAAATGAATGTTTATTCTGTATTTGACTATGTTTATCTGCAGTTAGTTACACGAATTTAAAAACGGAGCTTTAATAGGTTGTACTTACACAAAATTACTTGTAAAATTGAAT